CTCACTACTACGAAGTCCCTGGTCATGTCCACAAGGGCAGAGCCAGCTTCCCCTTGGTGTGTCTTTTTCGAGGGCATTACATCAGAAGGGGGGACTGGGACCAGCAGATGGCATAATGGTTATGTCTCTGGACTCCCACATGGCTAACCATGCTTCAAATCCCGTACTCAGTGGCATGAAACACACACTGGGCACATGTATGAGTGTGCTCAAAATCCCAAGGAGAATGGAGGAGAAAGGATTGCAGTGTGGCCATTCCCTCTGGGAGGAGGGTGTGATTTCTCACTCTCTGTCTCTCCGGTGAGCACCCTATAGCAAAAACCTCTCTTAAAAAAAAAGGGGGGGGAGGCTAACCCCCTTGTTGACTCATTTCATTCTAACTTATAAAAGTCAAACTTTATTACAACTGGCTCAATTTCTTTATCTTAATTAAGGAGGCAGAACCTAACCAATGCCAGAAATCAAAATCTTCTTCTTGCAGAACATACAGAGCAGGACAAACTTTTCTCTAGTTTATATGCTCATGGCCATACCTCTTAGACAAAAGCACACACAGGATCATTTCAAATTCTTTTCTTAACGAAGAATTTTCACAATTATCTTGTGCAGAGTTTTTCTACATTAGTAATGAGGTGATCCTTCATAGAATTCTAAGAAAATGCCTTTGTAACATGTCCTTACATTACAAGGGAAGAATTAAACACTCATGAAGTTTAAGGCACATCTCTTTGGGCAGTATGTCAGTGTAAGAGAGAAAGGTTTGGGGCCAGCAGGTGGCATAGTGGTTATGGTGCAGGACTTCCACATGGCCAACTGCCATTCAAGTTAGAGTCCCGGACCCAGCAGCTGGAAATTCACATCAGGCATGTATGTGTGCATACCCAAAATCCCCAGAGGAGAATGGAGTAGATTGTGAGGTGGCCATCCCTTCTGGGCGGTGATTTTTCACTTTTTCTCTCTTGGTGTCTCTGCCAGCACACATGCCCTATTGAAAAAAAAAAAAAATCTCTCTTAAAAAAAAAGAAAGAAAGAGAAGAGAAAGACTGCTTTATTGAAGGTTAATTATCTATTGGGGGAAAAAATCACTAAGAGGCCCACATTCTGGTATCCCAGTAGAGGAGTCAGGAGCAAACATGAAGTGGATATGATGGTGGATCAGGTGTGGACAATGAAGCCTTTCAGCTTACCTGGAGTAGAGGTTCTGTGAAGGAGTTTGAAGGATATGATCATGACTGGGGAGGGAGACTGAAACCAGAGTTTTGAAAGCTTTAAGAGTTTTTTTTTTTTTTTTTTTAATAATGAGGTGCAGAATAGGAGTCACATTTTAAAATGTTGCATTGACATCCATGTGCAAAATGCATTAGCGGTGGAAGGAATTGGAAGCTGATTATCAAGCTAGGAAGCAGCAGTGATACTGTGGATGTGGAGAAATGGAAGTAAGAATGAAGGGGATGGAAGACACATAACAATGGCTGAGATGAATTATTTCAAAGGGGCAGAAGCCAAATAGTGAGTCTAAGGTCATCGTGAGCTTTGGCATAGATGACTGGTAGACTGAGGGGAGCCTCAGGCAGAAAGCAAACAATTGAAAAGAGAGAAAGAAAGAGAGAAACTTGATGATTTAAAGTAAAAGAAGTCCAGTACGAGATCTGTTGTGTATGAAGTTGGAAAGTACAAGAGAGTTTTTGAACATAAAAAGGAGAAAGCGCATCCTTTAAAGGATGCACTTAAAGAGATGGATAAGCTTTTCCACCCATTAGTTTATGTACTCATGGATATCACTTATAAGAATGAGACTTGATTCAGTGAAAATTCTATTCCCAGTTTTCATTTTATGATCATGTATTTTGAGAAACTACATAATTATATACATGGAAACAAAGAGTTGTGTTACTGTAATGTCACTCAAGTCTTTGATTCAAATTTGTATCCTATGCCAAGTTTCAAAGTGATCAGTCACCAAAAAATATTTTTAATTTATCAGCAACAACCTGACTGGGCATTCTTCTGTTTTGTTAAAAACCAAGAATTGGAGGAGTCAGCAGGTGGCGTGGTGGTTAAGGCACTAGACTCCTACATGGCTGACCAAAGTCGAGGCTCTGACCTGGCAGCCTGAAAATCACACCAGGCATGTGTGCATACATGCCCCAAAGCCTAGAGAATGGGGGAAAGGACTGTGGCATGGCTATCCCCCTAGGGGATAACAGGGGATAATTTCTCACTTTCCCTCTCTCTGTCTCTCTCCAGCAAGTGCATGTGCCCAGTGGCAAAACCCTAACCACAACAACAAATTGGAAACTCATTTGAAGACAAATGGTTGTCGGGGAATTAGAGGCTTTGGGTCCTGACATTGACATCAGTGTTTTGTATTGTTAATTTCCTTGGTGGCCATTTTTGCATGCAGCGGTGGGACACTATAGTAAGACAGGGATGTGGAGGGTGAACGACAGGGGACAATCTGCCTTTTGCAAAATGAGGGAGGAGCCACAGGAAGGGGTATGGAACAAGCGAGCACATCCCTCCTCCACAGGCGCCTTCTCAGGTAGATCTGGAATAGAAAAGAACAAAGAAAATGACTGTTGACAGTCTGGAGATTGATTCTCTTAAAGCCATCTGTGCTGGTTCATGCCTTGGGCACGTGCTCCCACTGTGAAGACTGCTTATCTAGACTAAAGTACACTGCGGTGAGGTAAAATTTAGACCCTTTCAGACTCACAGGGACTTAGGTAGGGTCAGTGGCCTTTTGGGACAGTGGGCCTGTAAACAGAAACAGGACTCTGGGCTCTCTGGCCAGCCATCGCCCCAAGTAGAATGACCTTATTCCTGCTTGATACAGCTGGTGGCAGAAAATCAATTCTGTTAGCAATCGGGAGCCTATTTCTGGGCAGAGTCAAGCCTGTCTGAGAGCAAAAGAGCCTGCTAGGGAACTCAGGGCAGAGTAGACAGAACCAAGACATGGCCCTCGGGAGAGGTTTCATCTTGATTAATAGCGGAACCCATTTTTCCAGCAAATGGATTTCATTTTGCTTTATCCCAGTGGTTCTCAATTGTGAATTATTGCTGGGTAGAGACCACTGTGGACTGAACCTTTCGTGCCTTTTCCATTCTCCATTTCCGGTGCCCACTGAGATTTTCCTAATTCTATTCTCCTTGAGCCTCCCCCAGTGGTGCCTCACACACATACCCGTTATTTCACTCAGTCTCTCTTGATTCCAGTTGTTTTGCGGCATACCTGTTTCCTATCAGACTCGGAGATGCAGTGAAGGTGTGATTGGCCCAGGGTAATTTGGCTTATAAATGAGAGTCCTTATGTTCTTCCATGCACCAGAAAGGAAGTGCTGCTCACCCCCTTTCTGGCTCTCATTCCATTGAGCAGAGCTTACAAGGGACACCACTGGGTCAACAGAATGAAAGGCTTTTTTAACCAAGGAAAGGGCTCAAATTCTTCCTCCTCTTTCAGTGAACCTTCTGGGACCTTTCTTAAGTCCTTTTGATGATTTCCAGTATGTGATGGATTGCATAAGTTATCTTTTGCTGCATACGTAATTACCCTGAAAGTTAGTGGCTTAAAACAATACGTATTTCTTTCCACTTCCTGAGGGTTGTAAATCTGGGTATGGCTTAGCTGAGGTTTGGAGATCAAGGTCTGTCACAAGTCTGCTGAAAGGCGGGGGCTGTGGTCACCTCAAGGCTCCACGAGGGATGGTTCACTCCAGGCTCACTCAAATAGCTGTTGGCACCATCATTTCCTTGGAGGCTGTTGGCCAGAGGCTGCCCTTAGCTTCTGGCCACATAGACCTCTGAATAAAGCAGCTCACATAGGGCAGCTGGCTTCATCAGAACAGGCAAGTAAGAAAAGCCAGAGAGAGAGAGGGACTGTGAACACTATGAAGTCAGTTTTATGTGACCTAATCTTGGTATCACCCATCACTTTCTCATGTTCGATAAGTCAGTCACTAAGTCCAGCTCTCTTGGGGAAGGGATTATGCAAGATTATGAATACCAGGAGGTAGAGGTCATCTCAGAAGCTACCCACCACTGTGATTAAAAGGTAATTCAGGGGACCAGCAGATGGCGTAGTGGTTACATCACTGGACTCCCATGTAGTTGACCACAGTTCAAGTCCCGAACCCAGCAGCTTAAGACTCACTGGGCATGTGTGCATGCCCAAGGTCCTGAGAAGAGAGTGGAGGAGAAGGGATTGTGGTGTGCCAGCCCCCGTGGGAGGTGATTTCTTCCTTTCTGTCTCTCTCTGTCTCTCTGGACAATGCACATGCCCAATAGCAAAAATCTCTCTCTTAAAAAAGAAAAAAAAAAAAAGGTAATTCAGGGGGTTGCCTGAGCAAACTCACAAGCAGAGATGTCTTGGTATAAGTGAAAAGAAACTTTAGACAGTTACATCTTTATTAATTAAAAAAAATTTTTTTTTGAAAGGTTTTTGCTATAGGGCACATGCACTTGCCAGAAAGACAGAGACAGAAAGTGAGAAATCACTCCCTAGGGGAGATGGCCACACAGCAGTCCCCTCTCCTCCATTCTTCTCTTGGGATCTTGGGCATGCACACACACACGTGCCCAGCATGAGTTTAAGCCACCGGGTCCAGGATGCAAACCAGGGTCGACTACAGGGAGTCCACCTACACAGCCATTACACCATCTGCTGGTCCCAACAGTTACATCTTTTAAACAAATGACAGCTAAACACAGTTGCTTGCAAACAGTAGGTGCTAAATATTTATAGTTTCTTTTATAGCTTTTTGTTGGAAATCATTTCAAAGTTAAAATTTAAAAATTAAAATAATCCCATATACCCTTTGCAAATCCACTCTTGGTCAATGATTGTATGTTGAATACACTATGACATTTGTCACATGGAAGGCAATATTTGTAACCATCAAAGCTTTGGGGCCTGGTAACAGGAATGAGCTGGAGTCCCCTTTTGTCTCTGCGTACAGATTTTACAGCTCTCAAATGCTTTCTTCTTCCCGGTCTCCTTCCAGAAAATCCTGAGCGGGCAGCACTGTACTTTGTCTCTGGCGTGTGCATTGGACTGGTCCTGACGCTGGCTGCTTTGGTTATGAGGATCTCTTGCCACGCAGATTGCCGGAGGCGTCCCCGGAAGAAGTTCCTGCAGGACCGAGAGAGCAGCTGCGACAGCAGCGACAGCGAGGACGGCAGCTCTGACACTGCGTCTGACCTCTCTGTGCGGAGACACCGCCGCTTCGAAAGGACTTTGAACAAGAACGTGTTCACCTCTGCAGAGGAGCTGGAGCGCGCCCAGCGGCTGGAGGAACGCGAACGCATCATCCGGGAGATCTGGATGAACGGCCAGCCCGAGGTGCCCGGGACCAGGAGCCTGAATCGCTATTACTAGAGCAGCGCAAGGGCCCCGGGAACTACTGGGAGGGTGGAAATCTGCAGGGACTATGGGCACAAGGAGCCTGTGGCTCTGCTAACATTGTGGTGGCAGGAAAATCGAACCGCGCATTTCCTTGCCAAGTGGACCGACTTCTCCTTTACGACCTAGTCGCTGGAGAAGTGGAAAAACCAAGTGGGTTCACCAACCTTCCCAGGTCTTGGAATGGTGCTGAAAAACCCTCTCCAACTACGTGGATGGAGATTGAGAAACGGGACCATGGTTTCTCTTGATTCTGAGGATCTCAGAAGTTTCTGCAGACTTCATTGCTCTGTGTTACTCCTTTGCAAAAGGAGATGATCGTAGCAAGGAGGCTGGGACTAGCAGGCTGAGTTTAACCCAGTGTAGGCAATTTTCTAAATGACTCCATGCTATGGAGGTGATTCTGATCCAGAGAGCATGATCCATGCTTATTATTTAAGGCTGATTTTTAAAAATCTTGGTGTTGCAATGGCAACCTGGTCCATTTTAACTGGCACCTCAGGGATTAAAATCCTCTCTCTTAGTACATTTCCCACCTCATTCACGAAAGTGAGTAGAACTATTGTATTATGAAAGATGTGTCAGTGAACTAAAAGATGTCAGTAACCTCACAGGATGAAGGGTTCTATTTTTAAAAGTTTATAAAATATATATTGACATGCATCTTTGAAAATGCTGCCTAAGAATAAAAGTTGTGTGCTTTCCTCCCTCTGGAGAGAACGTCTTCTTGCGATTTCAGATAATCATGATTTTGAACACTTTGTTTTAAAAAAGAAAACAAGTTTGGATTTCCAAGGAAAGCATGAAAACGGGAGGTGAAGATTGAAGCCCAAATTAAGATGGGATAACAAAATAAACATTACGTAACATCTTTTTTCGTGTTGTGTTTTCGTCTGTAGTTACTCTTATCTTAAATGACAATTTTTTTTTTTATCTAGATGCATGATGGGCTTTTGCTAACCCCCTCAAGGATTAGGATGGAGAAGTAGCCTCTGTGTGGTTATTGGCTTTTCGTTTTCTATAGGTTTTATGTTATGCTTGCAGCCTGGGTGACTAGAGGAATAGAAGACTGACCCAAGGCTAGAGATAAGATGGCGGCCCACATGGAAGGAGAAAGTTGGTGGGGAAAGAAGAGAGGCAAGGCTGTGCCACATTTAGAAGAGGGTTGTAGAGGAAGAAGCACATCCTCTAGACCGATAAACAGGAACTGCAAGCTTGAGCTGTCTGTTGGCTCCTTCTCTTGCCAGGGGTAGATTTCTTAGCCAGCCTAGCTGGATGCTCCACAGCCTTCCTGCTGGGAAGAGCTCCCCTGCCTGTCTGTCTTACCACCATACCTACCAGGAGGGTCAGGAGACTTCCTCCACAGGGCCTCTACTGCTCCCGCAGCCCACTCTGTTATGGGGGTTTGGTAGACTTGCCTAAGAACTGAGCAAACATAATCTTTGTTTTCCTGGGAAGAAATTCAGTTTGCTTAAAACCCTCAGTGGCTGGCCATTGTGGGTGGCCACATCAGCCAATGATCGGTGCCAAATATCTCAAGTCAGCATGTGTGCATCAGGATCCCCACTCTTGTGATTTTAGTCTCTCTCTCTCTTTTTAAAGAGTTACTTATTTAAATTTTGTTTATTCATTTATTTATTTTAATTTGGCCAGAGAGAGACCGAGAGAAAGAGAGAGAGAGAGAAGGAAAGTGAGAACGCAAGCCACCAGATCCATGACTCGAACTGAGGTTGGCCATGTGGGAGTGTCCAGCGCCTTAACCACCACATTACCTGCTGGTCCCAGTTTTAGTCTCTTACTAATAGTTGCTGAGATCATTCCATTCCTCTGGCTTTAGAGTAACATCATCTATCTTGAGCTCTGCTCCTTAGAAAAGTGGGACAAATAGGAGTAATCTTCTTAACCAAGACACATCCGAAACTGATTATAGAGGTTATGACCCTGTGAGGCAGGGGCTACCACTGAGGAGGTGTTTGGGAGGGTTCTGGGGCACCTGACTTTCCTAGTTCTCATGCCTATGCCTTTCTAACATGTTTGCAGTGTTCCCTTTTTTGGGGGGTGGTGGGGCATTCCCAAGGCACAATATATACTAGGTAATAGTTTAACCAGATGCTTTACTTCCATACAGAAATTCTGGCTTTCCAGCCTTCCCTATTTAGACTCAGCCAGTTCCGCATTTTAGGTAAATTACTTTCACTCTTGGTTCTAGTTTCTGTATTAGGACACTTACATTTGTAACAGAAAGATATCCAACTCAGGGGTATTTATTCACTGAACTGGAAGGGCAAGGTTGAATCTGGCTTTAGGGATAACTGTATCCAGGGATTCAATTACTACAAAAAGGCTGGCCTGTCTCAGGTCTCCACTCTGCTCTCCCCTGAGGAGGTCTTATTTTTTTCTACAGCAGATGAAACTGTAACACACAATAGTATAGTGTGTTTTGTTACTGATCAAGCTTCCACACAGCTCAGAGGTTGTGTGTGTGTGTGTGTGTGTGTGTGTGTGTGTGTGTGTCTGGCACAGTTTCATAACTTATCTAGCTCAGAATCAGTAGCACACAGAGAGCACAGAAGGGATGCTTTTACTACAGCTTCCCTGGCCTACCATAGTTCTGCAGAGAAGCACCAGCCGACACAGTCTGAGAAAACTTTAGAAGTGTAAAATGTCTTAGGAATCCAAGAAGTCCTCTTCAAGTATGAGGAAGCACCCTCCAACTTCCCTTAAGAGGCTCTTCCTGAGTTCTGGGGCATAGGTAGCCATTGTCAACTCACAGCACATCTAAACCCACCCAGCTGAACCTTTGCCCCGTGGCAGGGAGTACACCAGAAGCACTTCCAGTTTATGTCATCCCAGTTGATGGAAATGAGAAAAGAACCACCTTACTCCATGGCTCAAAGGACAAAATCACCGGGAAAGACTATGTGGCCTGGCTTGTGAAGTGTGTCCGTCTCCAGACTAGTCATGGGAGGTAGGAGGCTGGGCCTGACTAAGAAGAGAATGAAGATAGGGCACAGGACAGACACTTCTGGTAGACACTACCCCACTCTCTCCTGTCTTTCTTTGTTTTCCTACTATCGTTTTTTATTTCTCTTTTTCATTTCCCTTTATATTCTCTTATTTTCCTCACTCCCTTCAATGTGGGTCCATCTTTCTAACCTTGAACCTCAGATTTTTCTTTTTCCCCTGTGTACCCTGAGATATCTCATATGTTGCAGTGGCTGTAGATGCTGATTTGTTATGTCTGTTTATAGACCTAAGTTTCAGATGCATATAATCCAATAGCCCTCATAAGCAGAAGCAGGACACAGTTGTCCCGTGGGAGATATTTGGCAATATCAGGAAGACATTTGTTTGTAACCACTGGGTAGATGGGATGCTTTCAGTATCTAGTGGCTAGAGGCCGGCGACGCTTCAGAACACTTTACAGTGCAGAACATAGCCTTCTAGCCATCTCCACCAATGCCCCAGCAGTGAGTGATTAGATTTCCAAGTGATTTCGTCCCCTAATCACGTGACTCTTCCCAACCAAAGTCTCAGACATTGTAGAATAGAAAAAAACCATCCCTACTGAGCCCTATCCAACTTCTTAGTCCACAGGGTCCATAAGCCTAACAAAGTAGTGGTGGTTTTATGCCACTAAGTTTTTTTTTTTTTTTTTTTTGACGATGTGGAATTATTTATTGACACTAAGTTTTGAAGTGGTTTGTTATATAACAGATTACAGGACAACTCCCTAAATTGCTTCACCTTCTCCTGAACTTACTACTCCACCTGTATTTCCTGTCAGTTAATGACAAGGCAAGTTACAAGATTACCCAAGTCAGAAATCTGGGACTAACTCAGGGTGCATTCTTTTTTTTTTTTAGAGGTTTTTGCTATAGGGCGCATGTGCTCGCCAGACAGAGAGAGAGACAGAAAGTGAGAAATCACACCCCCCCCCGGGCGGGGCGGGGGGGTGGCCACGCCACAGTCCCTTCTCCTCCGTTCTCCTCTCGGGATCTTGGGCACGCACACACACAGGCACGACATGAGTTTTAAGCCACCAGGTCCGGGACGCAAACCGCAGTTGACTACGTGGGAGTCCAGTGACATAGCCATTACGCTAACTGCTGATCCCTAGCTGCATTCTTTACCTTGAACATTCACCTATAACCAATTGGAGAATCTTCCTAATTTTAAGTCAAGCTTATTTCTTAGATCTATTCTTCCTCTACAGTGTAGCTTAAGCCCTATCATCTCCCACTTGAATTATTGCAAATGTCCCCAAACTGTCCTGAGTCTTCCACATCATCCTGAATATAGCTACCGAAGTGATCTCTCGTAAATGCATAGCTGCTCCTGTACCAGGTCCTCTTTTAAGCCCTCCCTCCATTTCTTCACAATGCTTTTTACAGTACCTCTAAAGAGCATGCTTCTTCCTATAGAAGACTTCATTTCCTGTCCCTCTTGCCCATTCCTTTGTTCTCCAAAATTGAATTGGTGATAGTTCCCTCCTACACTCTTCTGATCATTACTTCTCCCTAAAATACTTTTCTCTTATTCTCTTTTACTCACTCTTCCACCCATATAAAGACTCAGCACAAGCATTTCCTCGCCAGGAAACCTTTGAAGACCTCTCCAGGCAGGGCTAAATTTTATCCTCTGTTCCCATGTATCCTGTGCTTGCTATGCTCATTGCTTTTACTAGGCCGTTGTGAAATTATTCACCTGTGGCTCAAAGGTAGGAGATCTTTCTCCTTCTGGGGTTGCAGCAGGATCCCCAGAGCTGGTCCCACTGTATGCTTTCAGCAGTGATTGGTTATATGCAGTGCAGACTAAGATGTACTCACTGAACCCTGTTTCCTCTGCCTCCTCATCCATCTCCCTGTCAGGTAAGTCACATTCGATTCAAAATTAACTTGTTCTTTGCCTTTCATTTCTTTGTGCTAAATATTTTCATATTTATTTCTGTGTTTCTCATGGTATTTCTCTCCTTTTTTTAAGGTTTTTGCCATTGGGTGCACACACTCACAAGAAAGAGACACCAAGAGACAGAAGGAAAGTGAGAAATTACCCCCAAGGGGAGATAGCCCCACCCAATCCCTTCTCCTCCATTCTCCTCTTGGGATGTTAGGCATGCACGCACACATACGCAGCATGATTTTTCAAACTGCCAGGTCTGGGACTTGAACCATGATCAGCCATGAAGGAATCCAGCACCTTAACTAGTGTGCCACTTGGTGGCCCCCTTTCTATTTTTATATTTTATTCCCATATGTACATATCTTATATTCTACTTCACTGAAGTGAAGAGGGTCAGAAAATACCTTCCATCTATTTTAGTTTCAATATCATGCGTAGCAGAGTAGCAGTCCTGAAAAACGAAGCTAAAGCAGTTCTCATCAGTTTTGGGCAAAGCAAAATCAGCCCCATTTCTTGTCTTTCTTCATCTTCTCAACCTATGTTGAGAGTGTACTAATTTTAAAATGCACTTTTAAAAATCGTAGTCAAAAAAGGATTGTCTATCTACTAATTGTCAGTGCAGATTGGTTAACTGTTGGGTTATCAGAAAAGTCCTGATGTTTTTTTTCTGTTTTTCTACACAAAAATGTGTCATAGTTGATTTTTTTCTTACCTGAAATATTGGATTTAGCATTTTAAAAAGTAGCATCTGGGATCAGCAGATGGTATAATGGTTATGTCACGGAACTCCCACGTAGTCGACCGTGGTTCAAGTCCTGAACTCGGTGACTTGGAACTCATGCTGGGCACATATGTGTGTGTGCCCAAGATCCTGACAAGAGAATGGAGGAGAAGGGATTGTGGTGTGGCTGGCCCCCTTGGAGGGGTGATTTCTCATTTTCTCCCTGTCTTTCCTGTGAGCACATGCACCCT